CAGTTCAGCATGTAGTTAAAGCCAGTTCTGTTGTCAGAATGACAGGGAGACAGGCAAAAGGATTCCAGGAGATTTTAAAGATCTTACTTACACCATGCTTAAAAGGACTGAGTAAAACCATGGTGTACTGAGAGTAAAGTTATGTAACAATAGGAGTAATTTTAGATTTACTTGTCTTTAAAAGAACCTTTCTATTGCATGCAGAATAAAAACATTTTAGCAAGTGCTAAAGAATGTTTTTTATATTACCCTTGGTAGCTCGTGATGTCTTGCATTAAGGATAGCAGTAATATGATTTGTCATCCCAGTTGTATTAAAGCCAGTGGAAGTTTTGCCAGTGATTGAGTGGGGCTGAATGTTAGGTGGGTATTTTGACAGTAAATGTTGTGTTTGTGTAATATTTGCACATTTTGCTAACTCGTCTAAATGACAGTGATTCTGAGGCAACATCTGGCAACATTATTCAAAAATGCCAATTTGTTAACTGTTGAAATAGGAATTACAATCATGACACTTGAGTGTAGCCATGTTATTTTTAAAATTTACACTTAAGTGTTTTGTATGCTGTGGATTAATTCCAGAAACTTTTATCTCTTGTTTTATGCTCAGTGATGAAACAAACCAACCTAACTACCCTCAAGCAACGTCCAATAAAGCGAGCTCCCTTTTCTATCAGTGCTTTCAGGTAAGGAAATAAAAGACTAGTCCTTATTTTTATTTTATTCTTAATTTTTCCAAGTAAAATGAAACAATAATATGTTTTGTATTTATTGTTTGTATTTATATACTTTTTGCATCAAACAACTTGAGAGGTGAGCCAAGGTGGAAGATCTTCTCATGTGAAGAAGGAAGACATTTCAGAAGAGTGACAAAAGAATTTTTAGTTTGGGTTTGTCTGTTTTGTTTTGTTTTCTGAGAAAGTGAGGAACTCAGAGTGGGAGAGGCAGGGCATACTGCATACTGATAGCCTTTGCCAGGGTTCTTAAAGCTGTGCCTGACTTGAGCCACTGGAGCCCCTTGCTGTAAATAGCTGTTGGATCAGAACTGCTGTGGAGAAGCAGCACTGAGAAATGGAGTAGTTTGTTTGTTGCATTGTAATAATGAATTTGTAAGTTATTTAGAAGTATTACTGTAAGGGCAAAAAAGATGGAGTTATGTTTTCTTGCCTGTGTGTGTCAGTCATTTACTCTAAAATTATTTGAAATTACAAGAAATTATAGCACAACAACCAGATTGTTTTATGGGTCTGATTGCTTTAGATTCACTGAGTGTCTTACCATTCAATAAGTCAGTAGATGTAAAGCTCTGCTGATGTAAATCTGAAACTCAATAAACAACAAACTATGATGCAGTGCTACTACTACAGGTAAATTTGGCTGTATGGATGGAATATGTGTTGGTTGTTTTTTCTTAGAGATAATTTTAGTTCTGAATTCTAGTCTGGTTATACTTTCAAAAAGAAATTTGGCATCTGTAGTAAGAAATGCAGTATGAGTCTTTTTACGCTGACATTCAAAGCCTGGTGTTTTAAGTGTCAGCTGTTTTTCAGTGGCTGTTTGCTGAAGAGTGCATGCAATAATGTGGCAATTCACCTTTGGTTTTTTGTTTCTTGAATAATGAATTACATTTGGTACTCTCTTTCCATGCAATTACACCAGTCTTTACTTTCCAGAGATTCCTTCGAGTTCTGATTTTAAGGTTTAAAAGCACCCTTGCATGTGGTGTCTTTGCTTAAAATGCTCTTTTTTTTTAGGATTTGGTTTTTGAAACACAACTGTAATTTTCAAGTGTATATTTCTAGTATGATGCTTTTACATGCTTTAAATGAGGGCTCAGTTTCAAGCGAGCCAGGCCAGTTGTGCTTCCTGACCGTTTGGAAGGTGTGGGCTGCACCCACACTCTCACATTTCTTACTTGGTGTTGCTCTCGTGAGCTTGCAGACCTCTCTGGCCATCTCTTCTGATTTATCATCCTATCATGTTGGGTAGGTGGTATGTTAAAACTGGTCATTACTGTGATTTATTTATAAACTAATCCAGAATTTGAATACAAATTAAGACCTCTTGCTTTTGACATGCTGACAGCAGCCTTTGTTTGGATTAAAAACAAGCAGTTTTCTGTAAGATGGGTTTTGGGGTGTTTTTTTCCATACTGTATGGTTTGGAGCAGGAATTTTACAGGAAGCAAATGCCTCATGTCTTTGACGTGATGTGTTTGCATTTTTTTGTTGTAGTTTCATCTGTGAAAACGAGGCAATCCCTCTGCCCTCACACTGGGAGAATGTCAACACTGAGGAGCCCTACCAGGTAAGAGGTGGGATGCAGGCTGGTCACAAACACGTGATAAGGAAATAATGCATCACAGTGAAATTGTACTAACCTCTCTTTTTCCAGCTTATTCCACTGCAGAAGAAAACAAATGAATATAATGAAGTTTCTAGTCTCTTTGGAAAAACAATGGATAGCCACCGAATTAAGAGAATTAAGAGAATACAAAATCTGGACTTGTGGGAGTTTTTTTGCAGGTGAGATTATTTCTGAAACCAACAGTTGTAGGATTGTCACCAGAGAAAGTCTTGAAGGCATGCAGCAGAAATATGTTTAATTTTTTTTATTATTAATGTAAATGTGTGTTAGTTTTTACCTTTTTTAAAATTTTCCTGTCCATGTGGTGGATGCCCGTGATACTTACAGTGAGTGAAGGAGAACAGAAATAAGCTTTTTTTAAAGTGACTCTTGGACAGGCTTCTATTATTTCTTTGCAAACAAAGCAAATGATTATTTGTCCCTTGTTTAATTTCTCAACTTTATGAAGCCTAGGACAGAATTAAAACCCATTTAGCACATATTCATTTAATTTCTTTAAGTTTAATGTGCTACAGAGGCCTTTTCTGAGTTCTCTGTGTTTTGTTCTGTGTTGTGCTGGCTGGAAGAAGCAGGAAGTGCCAAGTTCTGGTTCCACTTGGTTTGTAGCATCAATCTGAAGCAGTTGTATTGGACAGAAGTTATTTGTGTAGCCTCTCAGAAGGAGTGCAATCAGAATAAGATTTTAAAATGTTACTACACTGTTAAAACCAACTGAATTAAGTTAAATAGTGAGGATGTAACTAAGCAGGTGTATGTTAAAAAATTGAATGTTTTGATTTTTTTTGAAAGATACACAATTTAGTGTTAATGTAAAACTGCATTATGAATATGCATAAGGAAATAAATTTAAGTACTTGGTAAAAGACTTAGCCTTCTTTTAATTACAAATGTATCTGGTTCTATTTACCTGCATAAGTGTTAAGGCTTGTTTGCTTGGCTTTGTTTCAACATCTGTCTTTCTACAATTAAGTTTCTATTGTTTCTATTCTACCATCTGAATACTACTCTGAAGTCTACCTGCAATTCCTGTTCTCAGAAATGAACAGTAAATGTCTTTTGAGTCTCCAGGGTATGTGGCAGAGGGGAGCAGGGGAAGACTTATGTCATTGGGAGAGTGTACTAGTTTTCCTAACTGGTCAGTGAGTAAGATTCATGGTTTAAAAGCTCTGAATCTGTGGATGCTGTATGCTGAGCTGGCATGCTTTCAAGGTATGAAAGTGAGCATGGGAACTGGAGTTTCATGTGTCAGGAGTATTACAGTATTGCCATATGACTAACTACAAACCAAGGTGCTTTTTAGTGCCTGTAAGGTGTGAAAGTACATGGAGAAAAGTAATTTCATGTTTAAAACATTTTTCCTGTATCAAAAAAAAAAATAGAAATAACAATGAAGACTGCTAGAATAAGTGTATGCAACTGAGGCTTAGCTGCTTTTCTGCTGAGGGTAAAACACAACCTTGGAGTAACTGAGTTTACACACATTATTAAAATATTACTGCCTGGTAGTATATTACAAACAAGTAGGTGTTCCAGCATTTCAGATCTACTGAAAGTTCTTTTGTGTCCCATGTGGGAAGGTGAAAGTAACAGAAGATGAATCTTAGTCCAGCACATTTTGGTTTATGGAGTTGTAGAGTACAGCAGGTAGAAAAGGGGTTTGGTCAGTGATGTTGCTGGCCATCTTTAGGAACAGCTCGTGTGCTCCCATATGTGGAAAGGGCACATCTGGGTCTCCAGGGGTTGCTTTGTGTGCCTCCTTTACTGAGTGAGCTGGCTGTATGAGAGCCTTGCGAGTGGAGGATCAGCTTAATTTTGTTTTACAGGATTAGCTTGTCACTGCTGGTCCAAAGTGGTAAGATGATGTTTCTTAGAACAGATGAACTTGATTTCTGTTCCAGATCAACAAGAGGTCCTGCTGTGGCATTTATGCATTCTGCAGAACCACCTTCCCAGTATATTCCACTACTTATGAGGAGTAGTTGCTACTTAAACTTCTGTGGTTTTGAGACAGTGTTTTGCTTCATTGATAAGATCAGAGATTAAATTTGAGCATTGCTTCAGTGGTTAGGAACACTGAGGTGTTTAAAAACTCGATCTAGACACTTGTGAAAGTGGAATGTATGCAGTGCTTTAGGTCTGTCACCTCTGCTGTGTTTTCTGAGTAGTAAATTAATTTGATTGTACAGATGTTTGTATTGCTGTATTGTGTGTTCTCTGTAGGAAAAAAGCTCAGCTGAAGAAGAAAAGAGGTGTCCCCACTATTAATGAACAGATGCTATTTCATGGCACCAGTAATGAATTTGTAGAAGCAATATGTATTCATAACTTTGACTGGAGAATAAACGGGATGCACGCTGCTGTGTATGGCAAAGGTAAGGACTTGTGTCATGTGTGGCAGTTGGTAATCCTAACAGTTCAGGAGTGTTCTTTGTGAGGGGCTTGCTGCATTCACCTAAGAGCTGTTTAGTGTAGCTCTCTGCCTTTACACCAGGTCTAACTGAGTTAGAATGCTGTAAGGAGTGTAATGGGCACAACTGCTTGGTAGGCCCAGGGGGGGTGTGCCCAACAAAGCAGTGCTGATCTCAGAACAGTCTCCCTACTAAAACCTTCCTACCAGAAATACTGGATCGTGTTGCTACAATCTAACAATATGGAGGAAAAGGAAAGTGATTCCTCATGAGCACAGGTAGAGGTTCCTAGAGAACAGACTTCTTTCATCATCCTGATACCTGTATTCATTCCGTTAAGCTGCCGTGGTAACGGGGGTTCTCTCCTTTGACAGGGACCTATTTCGCCAGAGACGCCTCCTATTCCAGTCGCTTCTGCAAAGAGGACATGAAGCATGGAGACACTTTCCAAATTCATGGTGTGAATCTGCAGCCCCATCTGCACAGACCAGATAAAGTCATGTTTCTTGCTCGTGTACTAACTGGTGACTATATCAACGGTGAATCAAAATACATGAGACCTCCTTCAAAAGATGGAAGTTTTGTGAACTTGTACGACAGCTGCGTGGATAACACCTGGAACCCAAAGATCTTTGTTATCTTTGATGCCAACCAAATCTACCCTGAGTACTTAATAGAATTTTCTTAAGTTTGAGAGGAGCTGAACTCAATATTGTGTCTTTTTTGATACTTTTGTTCCTTTTGTAAAGACAACAATATAAAAACATGAAGTGTGAATGGAGAGTGGTGGAAGAAAAGCCAGAATGTGTTTATGGAGGAGGGAAGCTATCAAACATTTAAGAGAGGTTGTTGAACTGTTTTCAAAAATCTGTATACTTTACTACTGAACTTTTAAAGTGTAGAGACTAATACAGATTTTAAATTGACTGGTGAGCCTTAAATACGTTGGGCATTGGTAAGTTTTCAAAGGCAAGACTTGTGTTCTCAGTTTTTAAAATGTTATGAGTATTTATTCATGTGGTTAGTTCTATGGCTGTAATATACTATGCGTATGATGGAACTGATCTTTTATAAAGATTGTCTGTAGAAAATCAGAACAACAAAAGGTGTCAGGGGCCTTGGCTGCGTGTCCCCGTGCCCCGCGGGGCGTGTGCTGTGCCTCAGCTGCAGCAGCAGCCAGGCACCACGCAGCCCCGCGCTCAGTCGCTCTTCCAAGTGGGCTGGGGAAGAGAGTTGGGAAAAAAACAAAACAAAACCCTCCCACAACAAACTTGTGGTTGAGATAAGCACAGATTCATAACTAAAATAAAATATAATAATAAATGTTACAATATTTGTAATGGAAGGAAAGATAACCAAAAGAGAATAGCAGAATCCTTTTGGACAGTTCCAACCAACTGGTATAGCTGTAAAGTTAAAGAGTTTTTTTCACGTGTAGAAAGAGCAAAAGAGGCAATATTTGGGTAAAGAACAAACTTGAGTACCTAAATACACAAAGAGCCTGAAAAAGGGGCTGTTACAGTGAAATGCACTGAAGTGTTAAACAATTTGCTAAAACTGTCCCTGGTGTTTTTCTTCTGTTTGTTTTTTCTTTAACCTCCTGTTAAAGGACCTCAGGGGTGCTAAGGGACAATAATAGAAGGTCCAAGTGGAAGCCTTCCAGGCTGCTGCCTTGGCAAGTCATTACAGGAATGGTGTGCAGTTACGTCAGGTATAGAATGGTCTGTGCTGGTCTCTCATGGAATTGCTAATAGACTTTGGATCAAAGGTTATGTTCTAAATCTGTTGTGTTTAAAAGGCATTGCAGCTGGTGTGACCAGGTCTGCTTGAAATCCCATCAAACGTGGAGCTGGAAGCAAAATACAGCTACGTGTCTGGTGTTGTGACTGCAGACTCAAACAGCTCTTCCCTCTCCTCAGTGCTGTTGGCTTTGCCTGCCAGTGGGTCTTGCACAAGTTGGGTGTCTGTCTGTATGATTTCATGGCAGCTTTTCCTTCTGTTCCCAAACCATTTAGGGCTCGGGTGCGTTTGCCTTTGGTGTGACAGGGAGTGTGAGCTCTGATCCCAGCTGGGAGCTCTAGGTTCTGTTGTTGTAGGCATGGCTTGTGTTTGATTCACTACTCCTCTAGCTGTGCAAAGGGCACATCGTTCCCCACGTGGTATAAAATACCTAACAGCAAGTCATGCAGGGGAGTTGTGTGTTACTGACTCCTTTTTATTCTTATGCTGTATTCTACAGAACATACATTTTATGAAGCTTAATGGATCCATGTGCTGTTGTTCCTCTGATTTGGTCTTCTGTTTCTTCTGAGGTCTTCACTGACATTTTTTAGTTAAGAAAGATGAAGTTTCTTTTTAGTGTCTCACGCATACAAAATACCATAATCGTAGTGGCTTCCAATTGTTTGTATGATGATGTCTTGGTTAGTACTTAACTCACTTAAATTGGAGGGCAAAGCACTGTACAGCTGTAGTTTCACCTCTTCTGATGCAGTGTTTGGCTTCCTGGCTCCATGCTGGTGCTGATGGATCTTGGCACTGGAGGTATGTGGAGTGGCCATCCTGTGCTGGCGAGGGGAAAGGGATTGCTGTCACAGGAGAAGTCCAGAACTCTGCAAGTAGCCAATACAAGAAATAGGTGGACTTAATAACAGGAACAATGCGAAACAAAGGGAGGAAAACAATTTCTTGGACTACAGAGCATTAAAGAGATGAAAAGGGATTTATTTGCTCTGACTCTGGGGAAGGAAAGCTGCTGGTTTTTTAGTGAAACTTTATGCTCCGTTTTCTTTCTATACCTGTGCAAGAGAACATGTCATTCTCTTAAGTGTCTGAGGTAAAGCTTTCTTACTGAATTAGTCTTGTGGCAAAATGTTTTCACATGGGCACGACACTTCATTGTGACCTGATCTTACTTCTGTGTCATACTGGCCCCCTGTGCCTGCTTTGCTTTTCAGAACGGGTGTGTACTCCATGAGTGCTGAACAGATCTCATTCCATCCAAAGCAGTTTGGGAGGGTGCCTGTATTTATTCCAGCTTACTTACAGGGGCAGTTTGTACAAACTTTTGGGTTTATGTTAATATCTGCAGAAACAAGATGATACAGTTTATTTTTTAACAGATGTTCCAGCACCCTCACATCCAAGCTGTATGTGAGATACATAATGTGCCAGTGGGAGTTAGTGACTTAAATTCCAGTACAGTGGATGGCAGTTCAGCTGGTGGTTTGAGGACAACTCTGATCCTTTCTAAACCAATAGCAGCACACCAGATCATGGCAGGAAGGCTGAATTGAGTTTGTGCAGTCTACACCCATGGAGATTGCCTTCAGGAAGAGGACTTGTCAGTAGCTGGCAGGCTTCTCAGTGGCCTGTAGAGACCATGGGTCATGGAGCATGTCAGTCTGAAAGTTCTTTTGGCCTACGTGTCCACCAGTGTTGCAGTACTCTTAGGCACTGACCAAAGCAGCAGCCTCCCACAGCAGCACAGGTCTGCTCCAGTACGGCCATCTCCTCTTGCCCAATCACAGCAGGAGGGTGGGGACTGAGGGGTGGAATGCTGTGTCTTGTGTTTGCTTGTCCTGTGCCTCCCTTGCCTCTCCCCACTGACACAGCCCTGCAGTTAGTGAGGGAGTTCAGAGACATAACCTCTGAGCAGCCGAAATAAGAATGTGGTTGCTTGGCTGCATTCTTGGTGGTGTTTAACAGAAACACAAAATCACATTCCTGATGAATTCAGTGACCTGATCTCTGTCACGGGTAGGGAAGCCTACGACAGCAAGCCACGCCAGCTCAGATGTTTGGGTGGGGGTGTGTTGGTTGGTTTGTTTTTCAAAAGCCCATATACTACATAGCACATGGCCTGGGGGACCCTGGCCCAGAGCTGGGCCCTGCTGGTCACTGCTGGTCCAGCCTTGAGTTGGCTGGTGACTGAGCACACCCTCCCCGGGCACCGGGCTGCGCCGGCGCTGCCCAGCTCCTCACCCAGCACGGTGTCCCCCGGGCAGAGGGTTTTGGGAACAGACACCATTACTGC